TTCATCGGTATACCCCATTTTTTCTAAGTTCCGTTATTGAATATTATAGGTGTGTAAACTCAGCAAAATATTCTAAAAGAGTCCAGTAGCCTATAATAGCATTGTTTATGCATGTGAGTCTGATTTATTTCACTACGGTTGGAAAGAGTGTAGACTGGTGCAACTACTGTGGAAATCAGCATGTAGATTCCTTTTAAAAAATAAGATTACAGTTCCCACTTCACCCAGATATTTCCCTTCTAGGTGCTTTCCCAGAAGAATTAAAGATATACCAGAGCTATATATGTGCACTGATGTTTATAGCAGCACAATCTACAGTAGCTAAATCATAGAAACAATCTAAATGATGTCAACCAAGGAAGGTATAAGATATATAGTCTTTTATATAATGGAGTACTACTTGGCAATAAAGGATAAACTTTTGTATTAATTTTATTGAGAAAAAAATAGCAATGAGACATTTTCAAAACAGGTTAGTAGGACAATTACAATAATGCATTGTATATTGTGGTCTTCATAGTGATTATTCATAGTACAAGATACAGACATGATATCCTGTCCAAACTCTATTAGTACAAATCTTTCTTCCCAATGAATTAAGAGAAAGTTGTATATCTATCCTATTTTGTATATACAGATACAAGATGGTCCTTCATTTATATCACTCTTTTTTGTTTAGTTTTGTCAGAGATTGGTATTCCATTGCCATTTAAATATTGTAGGTGCATGAATTCAGCAAAGTAACCCAATATAAGTCCTTAATAGTAGTGGGTTATCCATAGGACTGGCACTGTCTGAAGTTGTTGACTTGAGCCTTTTACAGCTCAGCATATTCATATGGCTTTACTTTTTATACCTCATTTTTATACTTTTCTGCTGGATGGTTAAGACTAAAATAAAGCAAGACCTATATAACAAGAAATGTAACTTTTGTATCTGCCAAGGTCAGTCAAATCTCCTCAGGATTTACCCTGAAACCCTGTACTGCAGTTTGTAGATCCAAGAAGGATAAACTTAAGACAGTTTTAGGCAAATGGATGACCCTTGAGACCATACTCATAAGTGCCACTTAATTTTCTTATATTACCAGTTCCTGTAAATATTAAGTAAAATATCAAATCAGTAAAGTTAGGGAAGACTGTTTTGGCTTTCGTTTGTCCAAACACCAAGGTCAGATGGTTCCCTAATATGCACTTCAAATTGCAGAGAATTTTTCTAGCTCCAGCCTATTCTGAAGATGACAAATTTTGTTTTTTCTTCCTTTCTGGACATTGCCAACTTCTGCATTAGTCATGCTTAGCAGATCTCAACCTATTTGTGTGTGGGGTGGGAGGGTGACAAGCTCAGCCTGTCCTGGAGGTGAGACTGGTGCAGCATGTGGTGCCTGGGAGTGAATCATGGTCCCTGAGCTTCCCGAAGCTTGCCTGAGCAGATGCTTTAGTCCACTGAGATATCTTGCTTGACCCTCAACCTCTTTACCTGGTAACTCCATCCTCTGCTGCACTACCATGCAATCAATGTTACAGGCACCATCATTTTTCTGCGACTGTTTACATTATCTGTATTTCTGCAAGCCTGTCTGTCTGTCCACTGTCAGTTCAACCACACTCCCACAGTTGACTACTCAATTAGCAGCTACTTTCTAGCTGTTTTGATTAAAACTAGCAAAGAACTAGTACCATACGCTTCTACCTTCCACCTTGTCTTTTCATTCTAAAGCATGCTTTTATAATCAAAATCACAGCCAAATTAAGGAGATGGAGATATGAGTAGGAAATATGCTGGGAGTTAATAATCAAAGTATGGTACATGCATATATAGAAATATATCAAAATGAATCCACTGCTTGGTATAACCAATGTGTACTATTAAAGCTTCAGATAATAAGTCAAAGTATGGGTGTGCATTTATATATCCAAAATATCATAAATGAAGGGATTTTGAAATGACTTTGGTAATAATAAAGGTAGATACAAGTTACTGAGACTCAGCACAAAATCACTTTAACTCTCCACAACTAGGGTAATAGCAACAATCGCATGTATGCAGACAAATGTGAGGCACTGGACTGGCCAAATAGCTCAGTGGATGTAAGCACCTGCAAGCAGGCACAGGGGGTGGGAGTTCAATTCCCCAGCCTGTTGTGCTGACCCCACCTCTGAGGCGCCCTGCGACAGCAATTGAGACTGGGTGTGGTGGCGCGCACCTGTAATCCCAGCACTTCAGAGGCTGTAAACAGGAGAATCACTATGAGTCCAATATAGTAATGAGACCCTAAACACCCTGTAGACCTTTCCTTAAAATACGAGGGGAAAAAAAGTGAGGCATTGACAGAGAGGCATTACATCACTACAAAGAACCAAGTCACAGGCTGGTGGGATAGCTCAGCAGCCTGCTTAGGCAAGTTTGGACAAAACGCAGGGTCCGCGGTTCAATCCCCAGCACCACATGCCATGCCAGCCCCGCCCCTAGGACAGGCTGAACCAGCCACAGAAATAAATAAATAAATAAATAAATAAATAAATAAATAAGTAAACTTTTTTTAAAAAAAGAATCAAGTCACAAAGTAATGCATGAATCAAAAATCCAGGTATAGGCCAGGAAAAAAAGCTCAAGGGCATAATAAGCACCTGCCTGGCAAGCACAGGGTCCTGAGTTTGATGGCCAGCACAAACACACACACACACACAAAAAAAAGAAAAATAAAAATTGAGGTACAATTACTATTATAAAGCTGTAGTATCATAAGGGCCAGCCAAATAGCTCAGCAGATTAAAGTGCCTGCTTATTAGGCAGACACAGGTGCTGGCCAGGGTTCAATCCCCGCCGAGCCAAGCCAGTTTTGCCCCTGGGGCTCGCTGAAAAGGCGATTGGGCGTGGTGGCACGTGCCTGTAATCCCAGCTCTTGGGAGGCTGAATACAGGCGGATGGATCACTACGAGTCTGATCTACATAGTGAGATCCTATAGACCCCGAGACCCTGTGATAAATACAAACAAACAAAATAGAAAGTGGAAAGGTAAGATAAAGGTAAATGAGTCTTTTTTGTTTGTTTTTTAAAGGTATTTGGTAAAAAAAACATTTAAAAATTAGGTTATATTTTAAAAAATAGGATAAAGAATTCTATGCTTCCTGTGTATTCAAAGTGGTTGGGATAGATATATAGTTACATTCTGTTAATGAATAGAATGATTTGTTCTAATGGTGTTTGTAAATAGGATCACAAGTCCGCATCTTGTACAGCAATTAACCACTAAGAAGAATATATGCAGTGTATTATTTGTTGAAAAATAAAAAAAATAAATAAATAAAAAATAAAGGTATTTGGTACACGGTCTTACCACGCCAAAAAAAAAAAAAAAAAAAAAAAAAGCTGTAGTATCAACAAGTATGAGCATTGTTATAGGAAAGATATAAAGTCCCTTCAGTTCCTTTGGATGAGTCATATTAAAGGAAAAAAAAATTGACTCAATCTGTACAATTAAGAAAAACTGAAATTAATGAGTCAATGATTAAAGAGATACTTCTGCTCTCTCCTAGAGAGTGTAACGATTTTTTTTTTTTTTTTTTTTTTTTTTGTGATACCAGGGATTGAACTCAGGACCTCACGTTTGGCAGGCAAGCACTTATTCCACTGAGCTATCTCCCTAGCCCGAGAGTGTAATGATTAAGCAGCTTTGAAGGGCAAAATGGCCTGCACCTTAACTGAGTAAATCAGATTCAGTGGCAGGAATGAGTAGAAGGAGAAAGCCACCCACCAAAGGCTAATATGGTAGCATAATGATTGACTGAATGTTGTTTTACCTTCATCTCCAGAAGATATATCCACTACATGGAAGCAGATAACCACACAGGCACATCACAATTCCTTCTGCTGAGCCTCTCAGATGATCCTGTATTGCAGCCTCTTTGCTTTGGGCTGTTCCTATTCATGTACTTGGCCTCAGTGCTCGGGAACCTGCTCATCATCTTGGCCGTCAGCTCTGACTCCCACCTCCACACCCCCATGTACTTCTTCCTCTCCAACCTGTCCTTTGTGGACATCTGTTTCATCTCCACCACAGTCCCCAAGATGCTGGTGAACATCCAGTCAGAGAACCAAGGCATCTCCTATGTAGAGTGCCTCACTCAAGTGTATTTTTTAAATACTTTTGCTGGAATGGATAATTTCTTACTGGTTGTGATGGCCTATGACCGCTTTGTGGCCATCTGCCATCCCCTGAACTACACAGTCATCATGAACCCACAACTCTGTGGCCTTCTGGTCTTGATCTCTTGGGTCATAATGTTCTGTTTCTCCCTGATTCATATTCTACTCATGAAGCAACTGACCTTCTCCACAGGCACGGCAGTCCCTCATCTCTTCTGTGAACTGGCTGAGGTTCTCAAGGTAGCCAGCTCCGATGCCCTCATCAATACCGTCTTTCTATATGTGGCAACTGCTCTGCTGGGTGGGCTCTCAGTCACTGCAATCTTGTTTTCTTACTCTCAGATCATGTCTCTTTTGTTAAGAATGACCTCTTCTGTGAGCAGGTATAAAGCTTTCTCCACTTGTGGGTCTCACCTCTGTGTGGTCTCCTTGTTCTATGGGACAGCATTTGGGATTTATCTCAGTTCTGCTGTGAATATTTCTTACCAAAGTAGTACTATAGCCTCTGTGATGTACACTGTGGTGACCCCTATGCTGAACCCCTTCATCTACAGCCTGAGGAACAAGGATGTGAATGGGGCACTGGGAAGACTCCTCGGCACAGGAGCCTCTGGTCCTTCATGAATCCCTGACCTCAGAACTATGAATGTTGTGTCTTTCTTTCTTTTTTTTTCTTCTTTTTTTGTGGAACCAGGGATTGAACTCAGACCCTTATGCTTGCCAAGGAAGTGCTTATTGTACTGAGCCATCTCCCCGGCCCCAATGTTGTGTCTTTCTAGGGAAATGTGAATTTCATGATGTAACTTTGCATGTTCTCTCAGTGTAATGTTTAGTTTGTCCTATTGCCTATGATTCTACTTTTGTATATTTTTGTATTTATTTGTCTCCAAATGTATTTCTCAATAGCTACTTTTGACTTTTCTTATCTAATATGATGCATAAATATCCAAATTTAGTAAGCTGTGTTACAGGCATTCCTAAGATTTCCAACTGGGAATAAAGAACTTAGATCAAGTGTCAGCATAACTTCCTGAAAAATTATTTTGTGATGCTGGGGAGACAGCTCAGTGGCATAAGTCCCTGACTGGCAAACACAAAGTGCAAAGTTCAATCTCCAGTACCACAAAAAGAAAAAATATCATGTGGAGGTCTGCACCTGCATGGGTGTGGGCTCACTCATAGACCATCCTATAGGGGAATATGAGGTGCAGTCATGGAAATTCAGGCATCAAACTGACTCCACAAGAGAAAACCTAATAAACCAATAGCAATGCAAGAAATTGAGAAACTTACCCAAAAGTTCTCATTCCCTACAATGCAAGGCTCAGCTGGTGTCACAGGTTAAAATCCTTCATGAACAGGAGAGATTGGAGACAACATGATAGGTTAAATGTTCATGAAAAGAGGCTGCCAATCCTAATGTCTTCAAAACAAGACATATCATTTCACATTACCAGTGTTGGTGAAACACAGCATTACTTGTGTGGCTTTTGTGTAACTGTCAGCAATATAGCAATCACATTTCTGATTCAGAAGGTCCTTTTTTGGCAGCAGCTTTATGAAATCAACACCCAAGATGAAGTACTTCAGTTGAGGAGGGATGGATTTCAAAACTTGTAGTGTGGAGTCCTTCCCCTATTAATTCAGAAAAGAACTATGCAGACATTTATGTTTGTTCTGTAGGAGGATTTATTCAGACTTATCCCTAAGTATGCCAGTGCTGCAGAGTTTGCAACTTGTGGTGTGGCAGCAATACTTGTAGGGGAAACAGAAGCCAAATCACTCCAGTGGAAAGTGCTCAGACACTGCTTCAAGATCAAAACCATGACAAATCTACAAACACTTATGACACCTTCTGGATGCTGAAATGCTATGGAATGTGAGAGCATTACTGAGGTTTAGTGCCCATTCTTTTCCATAATGGATTCAGAACTGCTCTTTTTTTTTATCCTTCAAGGTCCCATGAATGGGCACTTTCCTATGGCAACTACTTACTTTGCCCTTTTGGTTAATGACTTCATCTGTGAAGGTGTAGCAGGTGCAGTGTTGGAATCATTGTTTTCTTCCAACTAATTTTGTAAAAGCCCGATACAGTTTCTGATTGGTGAGGAGTTTCCATCTTTCTGCAAGGTTTCCAAAATAATTGGACTAGTACAAGACAGGAAGCTGACAAATCTGTTCAGGGGAGTCCATCTAAATTATCCATCAGTCCCTCACTTCTTGGAGGATAATCAACGTGATTTATGAGTTCTTGTTAAATATAGTATGCAGAAGTCACCAGAGAAGAGCCATGTATCTTCTAAAAAATCATGAGAAAAATCCACTTGGGCTTTGACTCAAATTGGCCCTGGTATAAATTGGTGTCATTGAGTCCAGGCCACAGGAAATTATGGGTGGAACTATTTTCTAAGACTACTGAAAAAAGAATAAAAGGTTTCAGTAGGAAACTTCTAAATTTTTTTGTTTTGTTTTTAATATTTTATCATTATCCAAGAGGTTTAGCCTAAATGCTGGTAAGTAGCATCTATCTGATGGTCTTTCGCAGATAATCCTAATAGCCAAGATGGTTCTTTTCCCCAAAACAATCCATAAGCCTTCTGTATTGAAACATAAAATGGCCATGACCAGCCAGAGAAGATGCTCTTGGCCCCCAAGGCTTCCTTACTTTGTTACTCCATTTTTTCTTTGCTCTCAGGAGCAGTTACAAAGGGGAGTGTTCACTGAGTTCAAGCATATTTGTGGTCTACAGACCCCAGGGCAGAACAGAAAATAAAAACAGATCATTTGGTCATGCTGAAATTGTTGGTGTTAGTTTTGAAATGAAGCACCTGTTGGGATAGTCGTCACTTCAACCATTTTGTGTTCATATGAGGTAGAGGGAACTGTGCAGCTAATGAAATTTCTAAATTTGCTTTCTGCATTTGGAATTTTCTGCTTAACTCTAAATGTGATCTTAAACCCTTCCAAAATATTCTTTCATTAATTTTTCTAATTTCGTTGCTAAAAAATGGAAGGATTTAAATTTTTATGTGTTTCATCCTGTTAAGAAGTTGTTAATTACATATGTTTCCACTCTGCCTATCTCGGTTTCTTTGAATTTTTGGTAGCAACTTAGCAGAGGGCTATGGGGCCTTTCTTCATCTTGAGTAGTAATCTGTCATATTTGAACATTTTTAAAGCTGTACTTTAGAAAAACTAAAACACTTCTATAAGTTTTAACTTAAGAGTCTATTAATACTCCAGTTTTTTCCTCTTCTGCTTTTTAAGTATTATGGGGAGAGGGGCAAAAGATCAGGACAGCTTTCACCTCACAGTGTGAGCTATTTTTATTTTTCTCTCAGAAATGGAGGCTTCTTTAAGATTTGACATTTAGTGAACCCAGTTTTATCATTGTGTCATTAAAACAAAACAGTTTAAAAGCATATTATCTAAATAAAAACATTTGAAGGATTATGTTGAATTCTAGAGATTAGTGGTAGCTAGGTAGTCTATGTGTCCCTTACAGACAAAGCTTGTCATAGAATCAGAGAATATTTGAATTTTTTTTTCCAGATTGGTGAAGTCAAATGACTTATATAGGTATCTGAGTAACTAGTGAAATACAAGAAATATTCTGGAGAAATGATGAAAACCTCTTTTAAAAATCTCTCTGTAAATACTAATGTACATAAAGTTGTTTCCTGCCTTCTGATTAGAATTTTGGTGGGTTTTGTTGTTGTTGTTTCTTTTTCTTTAGTTCTGGGGATTGAATCCAGGGTTTTTCATATGCTAGGCTAATGCTCTACCACAGAGCAATGTCTTAGCCAATTTGCTTTCCCTTCTTAAAAATTGGTTTCTTGTCACCATTTTTTTTTCATTTTTTTGGGTGATAGCATATGAATATGGGCATATTCCAACTGAAAAATTAAGGCCTAAAATAGTTGTTTACTTGGTTTTGGCCACACAGCTGTATACCTTGAAAAATCATTTTAGAGCTATAAAGGATTAGGGAGTACAGAAAGCTTTAGCAAGGGTAGTAATGGAACTAAGCAGTGTTACAGAGGTTGTGCTTTACAATTTTGTGCTAGCTATAGCAGTTTAGAGAGCCAGATGGTGTGAGAATTTTGTAGAGGTAGCACCAAATCAATTTTGGTAGTGTTCTCTGGTCTGTTGAATAAGGACTTGCAGGGAGCTGCAAAAATGAATGAAGATGGTACCTGGGTCCCTAGACTCCTCATTCATGAGTGTAACCCCAAGCACTTGTAGGCACAGTGAAGTGCTGAAGCGCCAGCATGGCTTGGGGGAGTTAGGGGTCACACCCTGAGCCTGTGGGTGAACTCCATTGGCCTTCAGTTCTCGGGGCCTTGCTCTTGTCCTCACTCTGTGCAGGAGATAGAGGTTGCTAATAAAGCACTTTGGTGAAAATTGTGAAGAAAATGCTTTGGTATTTCCCCATCAAAGAATATGAGGCATTTAAAACAATTATTAATATTTAATGGTTTTTAATTCACTCTAAAAATTTCTCATCTTTTAATTGTTCTTAAAGATCAACTATGAATACATTACCAGAGACAGTTTTATATTGTGCTATAGACTCAATTTGATAAATCATTTCATAACTTGTAGCCAATAGTTTTATCTGAACTTTAAGTAAAAATGTGTAATAAGTAAGAAATTCTGGCTTCATCTTTCTGTGAGCAGCCTGAGCTGATCTGTGAAAATGATTCCCTACTCTCCTGACCCATAAAACCTCACAAAATTATGCAAATCAAGAGTCTCAAATATTCGTGTTCACGTTAAGAACATGTGTGAAACTGCCTAGGCTAACAAGGGTATGCATATCTGAAAGGCCACCAAGTATCTGAAGGATGTCACATTAAAGAAGCAATGTGTGGCATTCTGGCATTACAATGGTGGAGTTGGTAGGTGTGTCCAGGTGACACAGTGGGGCTGGACGCAGGGTCAGTGGCCCAAAAAAGTGCTGAATTTTTGCTGCATGTGCTTAAAAATGCAGAGAGTGATGTTGAACTTAAGGGCTTAGATGTAGATTCTCTGGTTATTGAACATATCCAGGTGAACAGTGCACCCAAGATGCTCCTAGTACTTACAGAGCACATGGCCAGATTAACCCATACATGAGTGAACCCTGCCATATTGAGATGATCTTACTGAAAAGGAACAAACTGTTCCCAAACCGGAGGTGGAAGCTACACAGAAGAAAAAAATATTCCAGAAGAAACTGAAGCAAATCCCTATGGCACAGGAATAAATCAAGCATAAAATAAATGCAAATAAAAGTTTTTAAAAAGAAATTCTGTTGTTTTTACCATCTGTGTGAACTAGCATGGTAATAACTGATAAAGGGCAACTATGATCAAATAACTGTCTGAAAAGCTTTAAAGTGGCTGTCACGTATGTGACACACATACAGCTCCTGAGCACAAGTCCAGGTCTTGTGTCCTCTGTTTCATGTCTGAGGCCACCAGAAATGTTACAAAGTCTGTATTAACACACTTTTTGAATGATAGGATCCCTGAGAATTGCACCACAAACACAGCCTTTAACTTGCAACTTTATGTCCTATTTGTTTTACATGTGGTTGGGATAAATTAAATGTTTTTTGGTCTAACTAGTCACTAGTCACC